ACTGATAGGCTGCAATAAGGTCTCCCCGAAGCCTTCTCTTCTCCAGGCTGAACAACCCCAACTCTCTCAGCCTTTCTTCATAGGAGAGGTGTTCCATTCCCCTGATCATTTTCGTGGCCCTCTTCTGGACCTGCTCCAACAGGTCCATGTCTTTCCTGTGCTGAGGACTCCAGAGCTGGACGCAGTACTCCAGGTGGGGTCTCACCAGAGCAGAGTAGAGGGGCAGAATCACCTCCCTTGACCTGCTGGCCATGCTTCACCTCTCGCAACCTGCTGGCCACGCTTGGTAGGACATTGCTCATGCAATGGGGAATCCTGCCTTCAGACACAGGCAGAGCCTGAAGCCTTCCTAAGCATCCTTTTCCTATCTTATTTGCCTTTCTTGAGGCAATGGGCAGCAGCTTCTTCTTTTCTTTCCTCCAAACAGTGCTCAGAGTTGGAAGGGATGTTCCGTGCCAGCATGTTTTTACCAGTGGACACAGCACCCCTTTTTGGAAGATGTTTGGAGTACCTGCAGGATCTCTGAGGCTGGCCTCAGCTTTGTGTCCCTGCAGGGCAGGGTAAAAGCAAGGCTCAAGGAGCTGTGCCTTTTGCTGCTAGGTGACACCACCTGTTAGCTGACTTGCCTCTGTGGAAAGCACCTGGATCACAGGTCTCTCTCTGTTAACGCTGATCTGCCAGAGGTACCTCACAGCTGTAAGCAGCAGCTACCTGTCAAGACACAGCTCATACAGAACCCTGAGATCAGCAGTAAGTGTACTGATAGCTTAGGAGCAATAGCTTTTAACCAGGGCTTGAAGGGCTTGAGGATGTGCTGAGGTAAGGGGAACTGTGAGCCACAAACCTTAACCTCTACAGAGACAGACTTGTGTGGGAGGCAGTAGTCCCACTGTCATGGATGCTGTTGAGCCCTTCTCCCCTGCCTTCCACCTTAAGATTTTAGCAAAGAATGTCTTTTGGAGAAGATGACTGTAAACATCGGAGAGAAACCAGCCACAAAGCACAATGTGTTAGAGAGAAAATTCTGAGTGCAAGAGACAGCTCCAGATCATGTAACTTCTGGAGTGATCATCTGGCATCAGAAAACAGGGGAATGACACAGTCCAATGAAGGCTTATATCCATGGACTGGAGCTTCCTCTCTGGGACTCTGTGCATTATCCCCAGCACTGTGCTGAGCAGAAATCAGTCACTCAGAAAAATAAGCGGTATCCTGCCATCCCAGAGTCTCACAGGGAGGAAACAAGCTGCCTCCCCTCAAATCGTTCTTCATACTTACACATTAATGATTAGTATCAGGGAAGATACTACACTATCTTAGTGTACTTTAACTGTTGGCTGAAAACCTCAGGGCAGCCAGAATGAGGTTTATGAAAGGCAAGCCATGGACAACCTTCAGACAACATGTAACCACTTTGAATTGTCTGTTTCCCCCTCTTGTTCAATCTACAAAAGATGAAAGCTAGGATCTACAACAAGGAGCTAGGCCTTTTTGCTTAATGTGCAGTAACTCAGAGAAATCTCTGTCTTCTGTGTTGTTTGTAGCCAGAAATCATAAATACTTTACTGACTGGTCCCCAGTAACTTTGGTTTCACTTAAATGCATTATACTACTAAATCCCTGATGTTACATGGAAAATAAGCTAGTAAAAAAAACTCAGAAACTGAAGCAGGGTCTTACTGTGTTCTTTCCATGTCCCACCGAAGTTGTACACCCAGCTAGACACGCCGAAACGTACGTGAGTCCATTGTCTCCACACACAGGATCCCACACATTGGAGGCACATTTGCAGTCAGAGTTGCACTCAGAAAATACGGAATTTTCATGGTACGGAATGGGTTTGCTTGGAAGTTAAGTTCAGACAGGTGTAAGAACTTTTAATTCAGTGCTAATGGCAATGTAGTCCCTTCTGTGTGACAATGTCACTGTCCTGAAACCCACCTCATATGCCCAGGACATATGTTTTCATAGCTGAGTCTCTACAGTATTGATCTTTTTGCTTGAGATTCCATCCTACTTGCACTGATATTAAAGTGATAACTAGATTATAAAGAATTTTAAAACAAATAAAAATGTTGCTACTGATTTTAGCTGGCAGGTGTAGACAGAAAAGAAAAAGGAAAACCTGAAAGGCTTTGAGAGGTCAGCTAGGCTATCCCCTAATTGTACATAGAGCTAGCAAGAGTTAACACAGTCTTATCACATACATCTTTACCTGTTTGTAAAAATGCACCAATTACAAAAACTAGATTTCCTGGTCTCCATAATTAAAAATACTCCTCTCTTAAAGCCTAGCCTAACTCTTCTTAAAGGATACAGAGAATGCAGTATTCCCTTTTATTTTCAGACATCCTTTGAGTATTGAGATCTCTAACAAAGAGGGATGTCTTCCCTCATCTTCTCCTTTCTGGGTTAATTAAGCTTACGTCCTTGCCGTCTCTTTCATCTCAGCGCTTACTAAGCATATTCCCTGGTCCACCATTTGCATTGTTAGTGAAAACATTGCAGGGTACAGGACAAGCAAAAGACCATTAGTCCTCAGGTTCCAACAAAAATAAACATCCTTGGCATCCTGCCTGTCCAGTTCCACCTTTTCAGCTGTAAACCAGTATGGCTTGATAAATGAACTGTAGTGACAAATTGTTGAACCATGGGTAAGCCTTTGGGGAGATGCAAACAGGTTCACACTAGCCATGGGGTACTCTGAGCAGGCTGGACATGAGGCAGTGACAACCCATATGCCTGTGTGTCGCTGGGCCCCTTGGACAGCCATGTCCTAGCACGCATCCCCTGTACTGGTATCTTTACTCACTCCAAGAAAAAATAACAGCCTGTAACTTTTAAACCCTCGTTCTCTCTTGAGAGGAGAAAGCATCTTCAGTCGGCATAAAAGCTTCATTTTGGCTTACAGTAGGCTGAGAGTCTACGCATGTTATGATCGTTCCATCTCTGTGCAGGACATACTACCAATGCCCTCTGTTACATACGCTTCACCATTTTACTGAATATACTTCGCTAGAAAATTGCTTCTGGTGTAGAGATAGCACTGTGTGAAACAGCAATACCACCCCACACAGCCAAATGGCCTACATCGGTAATGATGCAATTTTGCTAATGTATTTCTAATTAATCTTTAACCAGTGTTGTGCTTTGCCAGGCTGACACTCTGCTGACCAACAAAACGACCACAATGACAAGTGGTAGTGTTCACTTTCTCTTAAGCATTGCAAAAGCATGTTTCTCTTTTAGCCTTGATGTCATAGTACATTTTTTGAACTATTGCTGCCGTGGAGAAAAAACATACTCTTCTTCATTTTATACTCACCCTTCATAGGACACTGTCATTCCTGCTACCACATGGTTCTCACAGCCAACAAAAAAGTGCAAGAGAGTGATGGTGTAGGCCAAAAATGACATGGTAAATGCAAACTTGGTTGCTCCAATGATGCTCATTTTGTACTTTTTCATTATAAGCCCTCCTAGGAAAATCCCAATACCTACAGGAGGTAAGGATGTCAATCCTGAAAGAGATTATAGAAGGGGAATGTTAAAATAAAAGAGTCACACTGGGTTTAAGAGCCAAATTCTGTCCTCAGCTTGATATCCCTGGCAGCTTTATGTTGTATTATGATGACTTTAGGTGGCTTTGTGCTCAGCCTAATCCCTGGGTTGAGTATGCTATTTTTGAAGTGCCTAACCCTCAAAACCCACTTCCATTGTAAGGCATTAGTCAGATGTTGCAGCATTTAAAACTCCCACACCACATTCATTGCATATTTGGGGTGCCCTTGTTATAATATAATTAATATAATAGGACATAATTCTTCATATAGGGAAGTGATCGTGCCCCTGTACTCGGCACTGGTGAGGCCGCACCTCGAATCCTGTGTTCAGTTTTGGGCCCCTCACTACAAGAAGGACATCGAGGTGCTGGAGCGTGTCCAGAGAAGGGCAACGAGGCTGGTGAGGGGTCTGGAGAACAAGTCTTATGAGGAGCGGCTGAGGGAACTGGGGTGGTTTAGCCTGCAGAAAAGGAGGCTGAGGGGAGACCTCATCACTCTCTACAACTACCTGAAAGGAGGTTGTAGCGAGGTGGGTGTCGGTCTCTT